GTGGTTTAACAAATGTTGCATCTACGAAACTTATGTCGAAGACAGAATTATGGCACATGAGATTGGGCCATGTCAACGAAAGAGGCCTGGTCGAATTGGGGAAGCAGAACCTGCTAGGAGGTGACAAAGTTGAAAAGTTGGAATTTTGTGAATCTTGTGTATTAGGTAAATCCTGTAGGGCGAAGTTTAACAAAGGCAACCAAAGAACACATGGATCCCTAGATTACATTCATGCTGATCTTTAGGAGCCTGCAAGGAATCCTTCACACTCAGGTGCAAGGTATTTTCTATCCATCTTTGATGACTATTCCAGAAAGCTATGGGTATTCATTCAGAAGACGAAGGATGAAACTTTTGAGAATTCAAAAATTGGAAGATTCTGGTCGAAACTCAAACTGGCGGAAAGGTTAAGAGGTTGAGAACCGACAATGGCCTTGAATTCTGCAACGAAGCGTTCAACAGTTACTGTGTTGAGTCTGGGATTGCAAGGCATAAGACTGTAGCAGGTACCCCTCAACAAAATGGCTTAGTTGAGAGATTCAATCGAACAATCCTTGAAAGGGTCAGATGCATGTTGGTTAGTGCTGGATTGAAGAAGGTGTTTTGGGCGGAAGCTGTTTCGACAGCAGCTTACCTGATAAATAGATGTCCCTCGACTGCCTTGGGAATGAAGACACCTGAAGAAGTTTGGTCGGGACATCCACCTAGTCTCGACAGACTGAGAGTATTTGGCTGTGTGGCCTATGCTCATATTAGGCAAGACAAGGTCGAACCTAGAGCTCTGAAGTGCATGTTCATGGGATACCCTGAAGGAGTCAAAGCTTATAGGCTATGGTGCCTAGAGCTAGGTCACAGGAGGTGTATCACCAGTCGAGATGTAGTTTTCAATGAAGCAGAGATGACTTTCAAGAAAACTGATGATGCTGACGAAGAACTAGAACAGGGAGAGATTCCTGTTGAGGTGGAGCATCTTGATGCTGAATTGCTTACCCCAGATGAAGTCGAAGACGATGTAGAAGATGTTGTCGAAGATGAGGAGACTGATAATGACTACCTGCTAGCAAGAGACGGATCGAGGAGAGTCATCAAGCCACCTCAAAGACTTGGGTATGCAAATCTTATAGCTTATGCCTTAATCTCTGCTAGTGAGGTTCTAGATGAAGAACCTGGAGACTATAAGGAAGTTATGAGGAGTCGAAAGAAGACTGAATGGCTGAAGGCCATGGATGATGAGATGAAATCTCTTCATGATAACAACACCTGGGAACTGATCAAGAAACCTATTGGAGCCAGGTTAGTCAACTGTAAATGGATTTTGAAAGTTAAGGAAGGAATCGAAAGAGTGTCATCGAAGAGATACAAGGCAAGATTGGTTGCTAGGGGGTTCACTCAGAAAGAAGGTATCGACTTCAATGATGTGTTCTCTCCTATTGTGACTCTGACAAACCCTTAATTCAAGCTGAGTATAGATCAGTGTCCCAACACTGATGTTGAAAGAACTTATATGAATAGCATTCCATATGCTAACATAGTAGGTTCTTTTATGTATGTTATGGTCTGTACTAGACCCGACATAGCATATGTAGTAAGTCTTGTAAGCAGGTACATGGCGAATCCTGGAAAGGCTCACTGGCAAGCATTGAAGTCAATTTTAAGGTACATAAATGGGTCTCTGAATAGAGTCCTAATTTATGGTGGAGCCTTGGGTGAAGATAGTAAAGCAGCAATCGAAGGATATGTCGACTCTGATTATGCAGGTTGTATGGATTCCAGAAAATTTATCTCTGGATATATGTTCACTATGTTTGGGACAACAATCAGTTGGAAAGCAACACTTCAGAAGGTCGTGGCCTTATCAACCACTGAAGCGGAGTATATTACCCTAACTAAAGTTGTGAAAGAAGCATTATGGCTTGAAGGTTTTGCAAAGGAGTTAAAACTTCAAGGTCGAGTTATCACTGTTAAATGTGATAGTCAAAGTGCAATACACCTGTCGAAGAATTCAGCCTATCATGAGCGAACCAAGCACATTGATGCGAGGCTGCATTTCATCAAAGGGGTAATCGAGCATGGAGAAGTCTAAGTGCTGAAGGTTTCGACAGATCATAATGCTGCTGATATGATCACCAAGACGTTGCTCAGTTGCAAGTTTTTCCACTGTATGCAGTTAATAAAGTTGCATAAAGAAAGCTAGTTTCTTGATGTTATAGAGTTAGATCCAAGGTGGATATTTGTGAGATGTTGGATCAAACTCTAGTATGGTCGAAGTTTGTTCGCGAGTAATTGATGTTGTAGTCGAAGTCTGTTTTAACATGCATTAGTAAATATTGCTAGGGTTGTTAGCATGTTGAATTGGGCATTGCTTGTAAGCCCAATTGTTTAAGTTAGCTTGTACTCTAAGTTAGCTTGTAATGGATAATTGTTAAAAAAAATCATTAGGTTAGTGTGCTATTTTATTATAAATAGGATGCTAGTTTCTCAATCTTGGCATAAGGAAAAATAGGAAGATAAAATCCTAATTTCAAGGGAGAGAAGTTATTTTATTATTCTTGTATACTTGTAATCTTGTTTGAAGAGAAAGGAAAGAATAACAGTTTAATAATCAATCCTTGTTGTTTTCTTCTTTATTAACCCTAACCCTTGTGTGTTTTTTGATCATTAAGAAACCGTTTATACTTTGTTTAAAGGTATCCGATTCACAACAGATTTCTTGAAGTGAACATAATACAATAGATCACTATATATAAGTAAGCATAGCTAACCATTAGACAACTAATACAATTAGCTTACTAACATAAAAAAAAAAAAACCTATATTATTATCTATTTATGTCTAATAATGTTATATGCACCTGAAATTCCAATAGCATTACACGTAGGTGTTTCATTTTTGTCATATTTTTTCCTTAATATAAAATATGCTTGCTTGTGTTTTATGCTATGGTTATTTAATGTGCCTTATGTTTACATTTGTTTTATCTTTGGATTATATATGTTTATCCCTCAATATACAAGTAAAATCATGACAGGTGGAAGTGATGGTCATTCAAATATTTTAAGCTATGGTTGTTTAATGTGCCTTATGTTTACATTTGTTTATCTTTGGATTATATGTTTATCCCTCAATATACTGGTAAAATCATGATCGGTGGAAGTGATGGTCATTCAAATAACACTTGCAACATTTTTCCCTTACCACTAGATAATGTTATAGTGGATTTACACACTAAAAATTGGGCTAAATGGTTAGATTGTTTTAAAGCTTGGTTGGTAAATAAAGGTCGCAGACACATATTTTGTCTTAATTATGGTGATCTATTTTTTTAGTGTTTAAAATATGTTTTGTCCGCTTCTTTTTTACAACGGTTGTCATTCGGCATTAGTCGCTTTATCGGTTAGAAATCAAAAATGTCTTTTTATATGGAAAGATGGTAGTAGAAACTATTTATATGGACCAACCTACAAGTTTACTATTCTTAGTGATTTTCGACTTGTTTGTCAGCTTTATCGTTCTTTTTATGGTTGAAACAATCCTCGTGTGCTTGGTTTTTTAGCGATTTATCTCTACCTCAATGCAATTTGGTATGACTTTATGTTAAGTTGATCACTCCATTTTTTTCATTCGTTCATCTACTCGAAACGGTGTACCCATCTACTTGAGTCCACTCAAATACTTCTTGAGTATTAAAGTATCCCCATCTTTGTCAAACATTACAATTAGCCAAACAAATACGAATTAGATATTCTAAGTGAAATATATATGTTTGACTATTATCTTATTAATACTTCTATAGATTCCAATGTAAATCTTTTTTTAGGTCAAGGAGAGCCATTGAAAGACCCGAAAGATATTATCATCTTATGGACTAACTCAATCATTTCATATAATTAGACCTCACACCTAAATATTACCTTTGCATTAAGTATTATAAATCAATTTTTGAATACACCTTGTGATAGCAATTGAAACTAGTTGTTTGAGTTTTTGGATATATAACAAATGAGACAGAGAGATGACTATTATATAAAGACAAAGGTGGTGCTAAAATTATTTGTTATTCAGATGTTGATTAAGTAAAAAAAAAACTATTAGATATTGTGTTTTTGTTGGAGAAAATATAATCTCAAAGAGAAGCAAAAAACACAACACATTTTCCTTATATAGTGTAGAAATTGATAATCGCGTTATGGCAACAACATTAAAGGAGTTTGTATGATTTAGAAGTTTACTCTTAGACATAAGACAGGGAGACCTTCAGACAACAACACTCTTATATAACAATCAAGATGTTCTTCATATTGCATCAATGGAGTTTTTCATGAACAGACCAATCACATATAGATAATTTATCATCATATAAGGGACAAGGTATTTTAGAGAGAAATCATCACAAATTTTGTCAAATTTAAAGATCAATGAAGACTCTTTTTTGGATGAGATCTTAAATGAGACTCTCAATTGGATTACATTTATAATAAGAGTTCATAACACATAATCCAACTAAGTTCATAACACATAATCCAACTTGAAGGAGAGTGTTGAGAATTAATATTGTATTTGTTATATTGATTATGGAACCCTATTTTGTATAGCACACACCATTATAAATAGGCATTATGTGTGATAATACAATCATTATATAGAAATACAATTTCTACATAAGAATATACATATTTTCAACGAACAACTTCTTTTTTTTCGCATTCAGAACTCTAACATTAATATAATATAAATTCACTAGTAATGTCATCTTACATTGTCAAACTGTTTGTGCAAAAGTGCAAGGGAAGTGTGGACATCTCAGAATATGCTAACGGTGTCAACAAAACAGTGACATTAGAAGCTAAGCTATTCTTCAAACTACAAGATTATGCTAATGGTGTCAACAAGAACAATGACATCAGAAGCTAAGCTATTCTTCAAACTACAAGGTCATATGTAGTACTACATTAGTCTACACTATAGTCATGTCAATGATACAAAAGTGCGTGAGATAACCTTTAGACCAAAGTTTCTTTAAAGCTCTTAGTCAACCAAATGGCTGTTTCCCTTGGAGAAACCTTCTCCGGCCCGAATGGCTTCAGCAACACCTCAAGCTCTTCAAACCTCTGTTGTTGTAGAAGCCGGGCACTGAACTCGAGCAACCCTTCTAATGCCTCCGCTCGTTGCTCGTAAGACGAGGTGTCAAACTTGCGTTGACGAGAATCTGTCGATGAATTGCTTGAAACAGCATTTGTGACATGTTCAGAGCATTCATTGCCACACGAAACTAGAGTACCACGGGTAGGGACCTTGGCTTTGTCCACAATCTGGATAGTACACTTGTCTTTTGTGATTGTGTAGTCAGCAGCACTCCTTGGGGAACTAGAAGAGCACTGAGCTGATGTTGATGATGTTCCGGGCACAGGGAAGAGAGGATGATCCTCACCAGGGGCCAAAGAAAACTCGGCAATCTTGTCAATTCGTGGCGCATTCACAGAAATATTAGGAGAGTCCACATTTCGAAGAAAATCAACATTGGCTCTATAAGGAGTGGTCGTGGTTGTGGATCTTGTAGGCAATGGAAGGGAAGCTCTGCGAGACGGTGGGGTAAATTTACCAGCTGGAATAGAAGATGATGGAAGCTGAAATGATGAACGGAGAATCAATAAAACGGTAGAGGCCGAATTTCTTTAATAATATACCTACTCTTCATTATATAAGGTAGATGTATTAGGTTAAACTTACAGAATCGCGCTTGGAACTAGTATGGGCTATCTTTGATGGGGTAATCTGTCGCCGGGGGGTGGCAAACTCCTTAGCTGCTCTCCTTTCCATTTGACGAACAATTGAGAACTTGGTGTCTTTTGATTTGTTAGCATTCTGTTCTTCACGGACACAGCCAATGGATAGCTCATAATGTTTTGAATAAGTAGAGAATCCTTGAGCTCTTTGAGTAGAACACAGAGAACCTACTTCAGTTCCAGAAATACTAGGATTCAAGGCCCTGTCGTTACTGAATGACAATCGTTTAACTCTGCCAGAGAGAGTGGAAACAGATTCTGGTTCTACAAATCGACTTCTCCTAGCATGGTTTGAGTCAGTCCATTGGAATGGAAAAGTACTTCTTCTGGGGTTGTTTAGTTTCAGATGAACTTTAACTATATAAGGTTGAAGATGTGGATGATTTAGTAGCTCTGCAGCCTGCCAAAGCAAACTTTGTTTAATGAATCTATCAAGATAAAGTTAATCAAGCTGAATATTGGTAAACATGTTATATAACGATGGAAAAAGAATAGACTAGTTTTCATAAATTAATCTACATTTAGATAAACGCAAAGAAATACTTAACAGAAAACATACACTTGGCCTAAGCTCGGGATTTTTCCGTAGCATACTCTTCACCATGCCTCGGCTGAAAGAAGCATAAAGAAATAAAACAGTAAGTTATACAAATCATGTTATTGAACAAAGATTGAGAATGCAAGTCAATAAAGTAATTTGATCAGTATCAACAATGTCATAATAAAGACAGGAATAGACAAATAAAGAGTAACATGAAATTCTTAGGAAATAGAGAACTCACAAAGTACCAGAATAAACTGTTGGTAGTGGGGACACTAAAGACTTGTTTATTTTGTTAATTAGTGCTTGCATATCCTGCACAAATAAAAGACAGTTAAAAGGTCTCGCCGATTTCATGTTGCAAAAACTTAATATTCTATGTCTCAAATTCAAAAGAAAAAGTGAATGATTACCACCCTTAAATAGTAACTTACAAGAGCTTTAAAAGCTGGTTTGTGCGCAGCCATTTCATATACACAGCATCCTGATAAATATTATTATGTTATAACCAATGTCAATTGCAATTTACAGCATAACTGTAAAACAAGAGAAAGGAAAAGGTTATGAAGTCTAGAAGATCTTAAGAGTGCAAAAAAAACCTATGTGACTTACCCAAAGACCAAATATCTGACTTAGATCCATAGGGTATATCGGCAAGAAGCTCAGGGCACATATAACTCGGAGTCCCCACAATCTAAGTGCAGGGCAACAACCCAGTTAGATAAAAAGTAAAAGTGATCCAGTGAATATCGTAGCCATATAAAACTTACCGAAGAAGCAAGATCATCACTTGTCAACATTTTAGCAAGACCAAAGTCACCTGCATCCACAACAAAAAAAGGCATAACTTCAGAGATTTTCAGACTCTCCAAGTGCAGTACCATGGTGCGAGGATAGAATGTAGAAAGCCATTACCTAGACGTATATCTTGATCTTTTGTCAAGAATATATTTGAGCACTGAAACCAATATGGATAAAGCGTCAATATAAAGTGAGGATACAATATATCTTTTGTCAAGCTACATAATAACATCTTCAATGAATGAATTTACAGAAACCATTCACCTTGACATCGCGGTGTAGAATATGATTTGCATGCAAGTAATCAAGTGCCATCAAGAGTTGAACTAGCCACTTGCAAAGCCTCTGTATAAAAGATGATATTGATCAGTAAACTAAGCATTAAAAAGCTTTAAATTCAAATAGTAATGAAAATTATTCACTCCAGGTTAAGATGTAAAGGGATTTTCTGCAAGAGTAACCAACCTCTTCAGAAAAATGAACACAGTTAGCCTTTTTAATAGCTTCAGCCCTTTACAACAAAGAAATTAAAGAAGAACTACATAATCAGCATTTTAAAAGAAAAAACTGTTTTCAAATGTTGCGAGTTCCTCCAATACTTGAATTCAATGAGAATAAGAACTCACATATCTCCTCCTTCACAATAGCCAATTACGATACACACAAAACAACCCTGAAAATGAAAGTGAAGACAACAACAGCTCTCAAATTTCAGAATCACAAATCAATCAAGAACTATAAACCCATATGCTGTTTTACAAAAGGAGCACACAATCAATCAATATCTTCATTTGTATCATAAATAATGATAATAAACACAACATTTGTAAAGAAGCAAGTGAATAACAAACCACTTAATTTTTCATGTACAGAATAAGTCATTTGTGTCAACATTAATCAAAACTTCAAATCTAGCAAACATTTACAAACATATGTTCAGGATATTTGAAGTATATTGTCCGGTGTGAGACTCTTAACACGCCTCTCACACGTAGGATTGGACATTTGAAGTATGAACATAAATGGTAGGTGGTCCAACACGCCTAGGACTGGACATCTAGAGTGTAAACACAAATGGTGGGTGGCCGGATAGCAGAAACTTAATAGTAGGTGGCCCACCGGATTTTAAACCAAACTCTAATATTATCTTAAAAATTGTGGTTGGGCCTAACTCAACCTTACAAAACTTTATTGTAAGGTGAAGATTGCCCCAACTTATAAACACATATTCAGGTCATATATTGTCCGACGTGAAACTCTTAACAATACAAGAAAACAAGAGAACAAGAAAAAGCAAGAGCAAGAATAAAATAAACGATTTTCTTTTATAAAAATGCAGACCTTTTCTACCCATGAATCTTTATAGTCTACAATGAACGGATTACGAACTTTTGAAATAAGCTCCATCTGCAAAACAAGAAGCCCCCAACAACAAAGCATTTCAGAATCTAACAAATTTGCAAACGGGCAACAAACTCCGGACAAAACCTAGGCTTAAACATGAAGAAAGTTAAAGTATGAAGCTGCAAAGAAGAAAATAGGGTGTGACCTCCTGGTGAGCAGATCTACGGACTCTTTCAGTCTGACGAGCAAGACGGATCTTCTTGAGCACATACCTAAACATATTATACAAATAAACTCACATTACTTGAAAGAACAACAACACATTATAAATGAAGTAAGTAAGAGTTAGAGCATGACCTTTTGTTTTCATGCTTGTGTCTTACAAGAAGAGCAGAGGCAAAAGAGCCCTTACCAATCTGTTCTAGAACTTCATACTGTTCCATTTTGTTCTAACTGGTAAAATATAAACAAGTTGAGTTCAGTTGAGTTCAGTTGAGTTCATGATAAAAGAGAGAAAGGGTTTAGGGTGAATTGATTATGTCATGTGAAGTACGAGTGGGAAGTAAATGAGGTGCAGCGTTGAGCACTCGACCATTTCCGTGCTTTCTTTTTTTATTGTGTTTCTCTTTCTTGAGTCCTTTTCCAGAGGTTTTACACTTTTGGACTTTGACCCCCGCGTATTCCTATTCCTGTTTCCTAATACTGGTGCTATTCTATGCGTCACTGTTCGTGTTTGAAACGCTGTCAGGGGTGTGAAAATGGCTCCAAACACATACAAAAAGCAATGCTATGCTGCTACTACTACCTGCCCACGCCACTAAACAAGTTTACCCTCTTTTTTACTATTGAGCTGATAATTTTAGGGTTATTGCGAAACACATTTAAATATTTTTGGATTTAGTGATTCATTAAGTGATAGGTTAAGAGATTGAGATTCAAATACTAAGAAATTATTAATTGTTTTTATGAATTGCTTGAGTTAGTTTTTTTTTAAATCAGTTGTAATCTTTTGTTAAAATTTTGAAAAAAAAAAAGTGATATATTGTCAATTAATAACGATTATTTTGTTAAATTATATTGAAAATTTTTAACTAATTATATGACATGGCAGAATGATATATTTTTATTGGATGACAATTGATCTTGACAACTGATCAGAATCTGAAGTGGGTCAGAGACAATCGTCTGTGGTGTTGGGTGTGAAAGAGGAGGAGCGGGTGTACCTGCAAGACACTCCAATATTAAAGTAAGAATCGGGAGAAAGAAGGCAAGTACAGAATATGTGTGTGTCAAGGTAAATATTGAATACCTGACCCTCTCGCCTGAGAGGGTTTTTATAGTGCCCCCAACGCTTGGTCATTGGTCCATATTTTCGAGGCGAGATAATTGTTTCCTAAAGAATAGGTAACTACCAGAAACTAGTCGTTGGAACGGGTAGAGGTGCCCATAACTAGTCGTTGCTACGGGCAGAGACGCAATTATGAGCACAAGCGTCTTGATTGTTCTTGGATGGTGGAATCGTGTGTGACGAGCAGGGACTGATGAAGAGAAGTGTTGGTCCAAGGGTAAACTGGTCAACCTCCCTTGTTGGAGGGGCAGAAAGGTAAATGTTCCCCCAAATTGGTTAGACATAGGCAATTGGGTCGTTCTGAAAGTAGAAGTGGATTGGGTCATGCCTAGCCATTGGGCTAGTCCGGAACATTAGCCCCCTAAGTCGTTGCTTCCGAGCATGGGAGTGATGACTTAAGGACAGTTTGCACTCCGGGTAAGGTCTTCGTTTGCCGTAGAGATGGGGTTGCTAACTTGTGCCCGAGGAAATCTGAGCCCGGGAACCTGTTACGCTGCTTGTCGGGGGCTCGAGGTACGGGGAGACCAATGGTTGATGGGATTTGAAGAGGTGAAGTGCCACGTATGCCTCGAGCCGTGTGCCGCATTTAATGCGTAAAAATGGTTAGGCTAGGGTCATGATTATGCCCTAGCCGCACGTACTCGTGCACGTGCCAAGAATTTCCTATAAATAGAGCGAGAAGATGCTCATTTGCACTTTCGCTTCTCTCTCTACCTTCACTCTCTGTCTTTGCTTTCTGCCGTCCGCCGCCGTCAAGTTCTGACCGACCGTTGTACCTTCACCGACCAGAGCCATTCGACCCTAGAAACACGTCTTCGACCATGTAAGTACATGAATTCCTTACTTGTTGTATGTTTCATTGATTTTTGCTTCTTATAATGCATGCGGTTAGGGTCATAACAGAGTAGTTTAGGGTTATTTTCTGGTGGTTGTTGGTGGCAGACGGTGGTTTGGCCTCTTTCTTCTGCTGTCGGCATCGCTAGAGCTTTTAGAAGCCTATGAGTTAGAGAATTTAGGATTTAGCTGATCCTGATGTTGTTGCGACACGGAAACGTTCGTCGCTGGCAGGAACCACTGATTTCTGGTGTATTTATGAGCTTTCTAGTGGCTTCCCAATGGAGATTTTGGAATTTGTACCAGGGGAGCTTTTTCCCGAATGCGTCAGGGAGATTCCCTGGGCATACCCTTGTTGTTGACTGTGCCATTTTAGTAGGGCTTAGGACGGGGACGTTGTCCTCGAGCCTTCACGTGCCCTTTCACTTAACTAGCGGTGGAAGGGTGGATTTAATTTTGTCATCGAATTCACTTTTATCCTCTGCTTTTTACGTAAAGGGGATGTTGCACGGAGCCAAAGAAGAGACCTTGAGGGATTTTTCCGAGGAGAGCTCCTTAGAAGACACTAAGACCAACGACGCTTCTGCGCCTTCTGATGCTAGGGAAGTTCCTATTCTGAGGACCACCACCGAGGAATGGTCTGTGGCCGAACCAATGAAGCACGCCTCAATTTTCGCCTCTTACACTAGAGAAGTCTTCACAACGATGGGGGTCGAAGGAGAATGGAAGGTCCACTTCCCCAGAGAAGATAATCACATATGCTCGTCGTACGAGGAGAGGTTCCCCGTGTACGGATATATTTTCAAGGAGATCGGGCTGAGGTTGCCCTTTTCAGATTTCCAGAGGATAGTCTTCGTGCATTTAGACCTGGCGCCCTCGCAGTTGCACCCGAACTCAGTTGCCTTTACGCGGGCATTCGAGCTAGTATATGAGTATTTGGAGATTGGGACTAGTCTCCCCCTCTTCTTCACCGTCTTCCACCTCAAGCAACAGGTATCGGGAAGGACATTTGGTTGGGTCTCCCTAAAGTAGGGGAGAAAGTTGTTCAAACCTTTTTCTGAGTCCATCAGGACTTTCAAAGAAAGGTTCTATGTTATTGAGCCCGTGTAAGAGAAGGCCACTGACTCAAGTTTCATCTGGGAGGTCTTTACGGATGAACATAGGGAAGACTTGGTAGACGAGAACGGCAAAATAGTTGCCCGGAGGTTGTTCCAGTTTTCTTTTTGCTAGAGTGGGGCCCATTTCACCCGCTCAACCGAAGAATACATCGTCACTCCTCATCAGCTAGGGGACGATGACCGGGCCAGCGATGCCAAGCCGGTGGCTTTTGTGGATGGCTTTCTCCGCGCCCACTGTGTGACTCATGCTGGGAATATTATCTACAAAGAAGATGGGGGACAGCAAGTGAAGGCCCGATATATTAACACAAAAGAGCTCCTCGAGTGTAGCACTCGTGCGGGGGCTCTAAAACTTCTGGGTAGTCTTTTGTTTCATCTTAGTTTGTCAGAGTTGTTAGTTCCTTCGTGTACTAACGTGTCTATTATTTTGCAGGTAACATGTCTTTTACTCAGGAGCGAATGGTGAAGAACGCTCAGGGTAAAATGAATGGAGGTTTGACGATACGGATGAGTCGTCTCAGCCAGCGAGCGGCTCTTCCTCAGACTGGGTCCGGGACCTCTTCGTCCACCCCACCTGTAGCTCAGTCGTCGTCGCTGCCTGTGAGCTCGAGGCTTAAACGTTCACGTATGAACGAGTTTTTGGACCTCAGCAGGGAAAGAGAGAAAAGCAGGTTCGAGTTGCCCCCGTGCCTGCATAACAAGAGGTTCTTTGAGGGTTCTTCTTTGGCAATCCCTCGGGCGGAGTCCCTAAAGTTTGAGGAGATGGATCGTCTGAGCAAAAGGACCGTGCTCGCTTAGGACGCTTCCACTCTAATGAGGATCCTGGAGATGGCGATGGTCTACACCGAGGAGGGTTCTCACCACGAATCTGAGCTGAAGAAAGCTCGGGCTGCGATGGCGACCCTGGAAGAGAAGGCCAAAAAGTCCTAGGAGGAGCGGGAAAAGGTCGTAAAGGAAACTGTGAAGAAGTGTCGGGAAGAGATGTCTACGGAGAAGGATGTCCTTGCCGCCCAAAAGAAAGCTGCTGAAGATCTGGTCGAGTAGCTGAAACCACTATTGCCCCTATCAAGGATGAGAACAAGGACGTGAAGAAGTTGACTACCCGGGCAGAGCTGGTCGCGCGCATTACTCAGGCCGAGGACGATTTCTTGGCCATTGACGAAGAAGCCTTTCAAAACATCGTGGATTAGCTGAAGATGGTGAATCCCGGTGTTGAGTTGTCCACTGAGGGCATCAGGTTTCTCTATACCGTTAGAGGCGGTAGGATAGTCGTCCCCAAATTCCTTTAGATCGGTGAAGAGCACGCGCAGGCAGCCCAGGAGGATCTTCAACAGGTGGAGCAGTGAACTCACTTTTGTTTGTATTTTTGGCATGTGTGCCATGTTCATTTGTGATCTTATTTTTTTGGAGTTTGGCCCCTTTGTAATGTAATATGCACAATCATGGCCTTTGTGCCCGTTTTTTGGTAATATTTATTTTCGTGTATGTTTATACTTTGCTTAATTTTTTCTAAGTGTCATACGTTGCCTAACGCTTGCTGTATGAGATGCCTTAGTGATTGGTTGTTATGTTTCAGGGTATGCTCGACAAATGATGTTCGACAATAAGGGGAATTGGTCGAAAGGCCTGAGTAGCTTCCAGGCAGGAGAGCGGAGCTCATGTTGCGTTCGTGGCCTGAGTTCGCGGCATGAACTTCCCATTGTGAGCTAGGTTTTCTGCCTTTCATGGTACTTCAGCAATGGCGGGCTCGGTCGAGGGACTGTCGTTGGCATAGGTTTTGTTCCTTTTTGACTAAAACCCTGCTTAGATTTACGTTGGTGGTGCAGTACTTGTACCTGGGCGTGCGCATATGGTCGGTATGTTATATTCTTCGTATGGGTGAAACATGCTGACAATAAAGGCCTTAGGTGTAATATTATTTCAGCTTTGCAGCGTTTCATGGTCGAGTGAGTTCTTCCCCGTTAAGGTGTTTTAGGTAGTAGGCCTCATTCTCTGTTTTTGCTCTAACACGGTAGGGTCCTTCCGAGTTTGCGGTGAATTTGCCTTCACAGGAATCTTTGTGGTTCCTTCTTAGGACAAGACTGCCTACTTGGAATTCTTGTCGTATAACTTTGGCATTGTGCCTGATTGCGATTTTTTGTTT